ATCCTTTGTTAGGGAAGAAGGGAAAAAAGCATGCCCTTCATGTGCAGATACTTGGGTTCAGGTTACACAAAACAGGATTAGTTCAGAAAATAGTGTGACTTCACAGCCAAGGCAAAAAACCAAAGACTGAAAACCATGTAAACCGCCAACACAATAGTAAGACTGAAGACACTGACAAGAGGCCAGAGGCCTCTGGTTTTCTCTGTGCCACCTCCATCCCGTACCTGTAACCTAATACAGAGTGGGGTCTCTCAGGCCTAATGCAGATATCATCTAGTCCAGAGGAGATAACACAGGATCTGGCACTTGCCTGTGCCCAGCTGTCATGCTGCCCAATGCCATGCCAATCAGGTGGTCAAGCATGTCTGCTTGACCCACCAGCAACCTCTCAACCCTGACAGTTCCCACCAAGGAAGAGCAAGACCTGTACCCACAGCACCAGGGCAAAGAAAAAAATGGCAGAAGAGAAATCAGGAATGGTGGGATCCTTAGCCCCAGCTGCCTGCTGGCACTCAAAGCCAAGGTAACTGGCCTTTGGTGAAGCCAGAGATGTGAACACATGCCTGTGCCTTCCAACACAAGGCTTTTCTTGTGTGTCTACACGGCCAGCCCTTCCAACCACAGGTCAGTGTGGCGCTCACCACTTTTTACCAGCCACAAACTTCCAAGACTGGAAGGCCACTAAGGGTTACAGAATCCGAATCATCTTACCACCCCATGAGAACAAAACCAGGTCTCAGAAGGGTTAGCTGACTCACCCAAAGTCACACAGCAACTAAGTAGAGGAGCTGGGATTTGACCCCAAGGCTACCTAGCAAAGCCCTTGTTCATTCCATTCAATGCCAGCTGCTGCTACCAGCTCCTGGGAGGCAAAGGAAGTGACAGCTGGGATAATCAGATACTGGCAGCCATGGAGGGCGGCAGGAGCAGCAGGTGAAAGGACACCTGCATGGCGGTCACAGTCACTCGAATCAACCCAGCAGAAGAAGCAGCAGAAGAAATGAGACACAAGAAAAACTTAAAGTGGAGGGGGATACGGTGGCAGAGGGGGGTGAAGTGTGCAGCCAGGAGACAGCTCTACATGTGGCTCTATGACAGGCACCCTGGCCAGGTGGAGCTGCCAATCCAGGCCTCATTTTCTAATCTATAAGACAAATGGCTGGATAGGAAAATCTCCAAAGGTCCTCCACCCACTTTAAGTCACCAGGCCCTGATCATAGTTTTAGCTTATGCTTCCTGGTGAGGCAGCCTCTAGTAAATCACTTTATCTCTCTGCACCTCCACATAGGACTTGAGACAAAGAGGTGACAGCTCCCGGGGCGCCCAGTAAGAGCTTAGAGAAGAGCATGTAAGCCTTAGCCCCATCCCCGCTCTGGTATCAGGAGAAAGACCTAAACCAGGTGATTTGCTCCCTTGCTCTGCAGCCCAGTGAGTGGGAGTCAAATACTCCCATAGTCAGGCTAAGCACCCAAAGGGGACCAACAGGGACAAATAAAGCATGTCACTGCTGGCACTCAGGTCAAGAGGCGAGCAAACACACAAGCACACCTCCTCCTATGCAGCACTGTTCCCCAGTGGTGCCATCAGCAGCTCTACGTGCCTGACAACCGGGGCTTCCTTATAGGGCTAGTCTCGAGCCGGTGGATAGCTGGTCACTTCCTGCAGCAGTCCTCAGGGACCACCACTGCTGAACGCAGCCTGCCTGGAGGTGGGGGATATCCAGGAAACCTGGCCTTGTCCTCAACAAAGCACTGGGAGGCAGCCAGCTACACCCCACACACAAAGGACAGTTCTAACATCAGACTCCTGGCAGGAGAAAAATGGTATCCTCCTCTTCTGTGAGCATGCCTGATTGTGGGCAGTCACCTGGCAACAGGGAGCTCATGGCCTCCCTCAAGGAGCCTGTCCCATGGCCATCTGGTGCCCACAGAGGTAAGAAAGCAAAGCCTCTCCATTCCCACATCCACATTCAGGCATGCTCTGTCCTGGATCCAAACAGGATAGTCACCATCCTATGAAGCATGCCATCATCTCTGCCAGGCAGGTCCTCTTTAAGGCTACATACAGGGCCTTGTGATTAGGAGCTCCAAAGCCACACTCTAAATCCCAGCTCTGCCACTTATAAGCTATATCATCTTGGACAACTTACTTAGCCTTTCTGTGCCTCAGTTTCCTCATCTGTAAAACAGGTATAAGAATGGAGTCAGCATGTATAAACTACTTTAGTATGTGCCTGGCACACACCGAGGGCCATATAAAAGGAAGGTGTTAGGACTGGTGGAGTGGCTTAAGTAGTGGAGTGCCTGCCTACCAAGCCTAGCAAGCATGAGGTCCTGAGTTTAAACCCCAGTACCGTCAACAACAACAACAAAAAAGGCAATAGTTAATTAAAACTACTTCAGGCTAAATGCCATCATCTTCTTCAGGGTTTCCTCATCTGCAATCTCCATCTACCGACCCTCTAGTTTGTTCCAGGTGGCACAGGCTCTTAGTCTGGCTTGAGTTTCAGTATAACATTGGGCAAGTCCTCTTCCAAAAAAGGAGGACCCTACAACCTGCCTCAAAGATGGTTTTAAGGATGGAAGGACTATGCACATGTAAAGCACCTTGCTATTATTACTAATTATTGATAGTATCATCAGCATTCTCCTTGTGGACATGACACTTGTATAGTGACCCTGCTGTGTTTTTTTCAGTGGTGGCCAACTACTGCCACATAGAGCTGCCTGTCAGTGAATTCGAGGACAGCTGTCTCACTGTTATCATGACTCTTCACCATGTGCCTGTGAACTTGTTTTTTTTTAAACCACACATAGGACTTTACATTTATGCCTATTAAATTCCACCCTGTTGTTTTGGATCTGGAAGCAGGAATGGAGGATCCACTAATCAGCTCTGACTCGCCCCTCTCAGAGGCTGTCGTGGAAGGAATGCCATCACCCAGAAATGACAAGAGACTAGAGAAGCCAGCTCTCAGATCGAAGACAGTGGCTCTGAGGGCCTCAGCCAGCTCTGCCCTTTGTTTGCACAACACACAGACGCGAGAGACAGCTCTTGTTACCAGTTCTATGGAGAGGGAAAGCACCTCGCTTTCAAAACCAAAGCCATATGTACACATGCTGTCATGCACACAGCCCCTTCATGGCCTCCACTGCGCTCCTCCTGTAACAGTGACATGAACACAATTGGATTTATAGCATCCCATCAATGTTTCCAGGACGGGTATCAAGAAAGCAGTGTTTTCTGGGAACAAAAGGCGCTTGAGTAAAGTGCACAAAGAAAGAAAGAGAAAAGGCAAAACCACCTTTCAACCACTAGGCCACAGCGACTGTGGTCCACATCATGAACTTTGTTTTGTTTTGTTTTTGCAGTACTGGGCTTGAACTCAGGGCCTTCACCTTGAGCCACTCCACCAGCCCTATTTTTGTGAAGGGTTTTTTGAGATAGGGTCTCACAGAACTATTTCCCCGGGCTGGCTTTGAACCTCGATCCTCCTGATCTCTGCCTCCTGAGCAGCTAGGATTACAGGCGTGAGCCACCGGCGCCCAGTCATGAACTTTTATGCAATCTGGCCCACCTGGCTGCCAGGGACAGGCAGGTTTCTGGTTGGGGCTGAGGAGCATGTGTCCTGAGAGACTTGAAATTTGGCTGTGGACTTTCACACTTTCTACAGAGCATCTCCCTGGAATCTGGGGATCCTGAATGGCCCAACAAGGTGTGAGGCTGGCCTCTGCTTGTCCTTAGGAGGCAGCACAATCCCTCAGGACAGAAAGTGTCCTCAGTAAGGTGTCACAGAGCGGTAAGGGGCGGGGTTCTGCCTGACCCTCTGCTCTTCCTGCCCCTCCCAGGCTAGATGAGGCAGCACCCACAGAGGGATTCCTGGGGAATCCAGGCAGGAAAAGGAAGTGGTTGGGGGAAGGGCGGCAGAAACAAGTCTCACAAGAAGGAAGGACTAAGATCAAGAGCCAATGTGATGTCATGGGACAAGTATGGGTACTGGAGCCAGGGAGACGGAGCTGAAATTCCAACTTCACCACTTCCTGTGTGGCTTTGGACAGATTACTTAACCTCTCTGGGCTCCAACTACTACATCTGCAGAAAGAAGGGAATAAACAGAACCATCCTTAAGGTTTTCCTGCCACGGATCCACCAGGTTCCAGGTTCTTAGCCAAGACTTAAGTGACTTTGGTGAGAACTAACTCACAACACACTCCAGAGACTGTGACACAGCAGGTCATCTTGTTTTCTTTCACCTACTGGGTCTTCGCAGTACATACAGCAAACAGGCTAGAATAAACAGGTACTGCTGGCATGGCCTGCAACCTTGAAGGACCCATCTGAACCCTTCCTGAAGTCCTCAGAGGCCCCAGCTCCTCGGCTGCCATCCCTGCCTTCTGTTCTCATAATACTAACAAGGAAGAGCTGGGCTCCATCCTAGCTCAGACTCATGGGCGCCCTAGCTCCCGTGTGTGGAGGTGAGGAGGAAAGAGCCAACATGTCCAGTTCCTCCCAAGCCCACAGAGCTGATGGATTCCATCAGATGAGCAAACTGCCCCCGCCCCTGTGTAGATGGGATGGTTCAGCAGCTTTTCAAAGTCAACAAAGTACGGTTTTCAAATCCTAAAAGGCTTCTCAAGCCCCTTATAATCTGTCTGCCATTTTGTTTCGTCTGCTCAGCTCAAGTCAAGGGGAACTTGACATTTGGAACACTCACTGCAAATAATCCCATGCCAAGGACAGGGCCTAGCGCTGCAGCGTCAGCAACACACTCACAAGGTGGTGGGGACATTCTAGTTGTATGTAGAGGGTCCCAGAAACAAACCTGTGTGGCGGCTACTCTGAACAGTCAGTCACCAAGAGCAGGGCTGTACGTAATTCACCAGCCCAGGGCATGGCCAAGGAGAGATCAGAGTATATGCTACATGAATGCAGGCACGGACTGCATTTTTGATTGGAGGGAGCACTCAACATCTGTGGATATGGGGCCCCTCCCCCAGCCCAGCATGCACACATTGTGCTGCCTCCTGTGCTTTCACTCTGTAAGAGTTTGAGTCCACTCTTGACCTTAACAGGGGATCTGCCCACCAGCCCGTCTGCCTCCACAGTTCTGCAGGCCATGTGGGCAGGCCTCGTGCTCACCCAGCCTCACACTCGGGCAGCACAGTGCACAAGCAGGGACAGGACCCTGAGGTGGGAAACTGGTTTCTTTAACCCCTGCTTTGTGATAACCCACTCTGTCTGGTCCCTCCCAAGGAAGAAGCTGAGCTGGCACAAAGCATGGGGTTTGTTTTGTTTTCTTGCTTTTTATCTCAGACTTTTCAAAGACGGTGAACTCTATGGGTATAAGATTAAAAATCCTACGACAGCAACTAAATAATGAAATAAGATGTAATAACTATAATCATCTATAACATCATGTATGTATACCAGCAATGCTCAACAGCAAATAACCCAAAAGTATGTACTGGGAACCTCTTATCCTCCAATTCTGTAATTCAACTCCTACTACTCAGCACCTAATCCAGGAAGTGACCTCTGACCACCCTGCGTGACCCAGGCTTGGGGACCCTCCTGTGATGGCCCCACACCTGGTTTGCACTTGGTCAACAGAAAGTGTATTATTCTTCCATTCCCCCAGCTGGACTATAAAATCTTTGAGGGACAATACCTTATTGGACTTCACTCCGCAAATCCCTGGAAAAAGTTGTATGCCAAAGTAAAAATGTATCTGTTTGAAATATAAGGACATGAATGAGTACATGGCCTCTGTCTATACCTCCCCACACTCACATTCCCACTCCAAATGCATTCTAAAGAGCCCTGGAGGATCTAACCCCTAATAAGACAACTCTAAATGACCCAGGGTGACTTCATAGTCACTTAGAGTCCTTCTGTCTTTATAGCAATAGATATACCCAAGGGGTATGAGCTTGAGTTTCCATATAAACTCAGGCAGCCAAGGGAGCTCTCTTCCCAGTTGAGGCCAAACAGGGACCCAACCACAAACAGCCAGTAATTCTGAACGTGACATGAACAACGTAAAAATAGCTCCTGTATCTCTTTGCCCCCACCCTTCTCCCCAGCAATGCAAAAGGCAAAACAAAGTGACACCCCTAACAAGACTTAGCTTGTTCCAGCATGGACAGCCCCAGCTCCTACATCTGGACCAGCTGCTGTGAGCCAACAGGGGATTCCAAATTACATTTTAATTATAGTAATTTTTCACAGGTACCTGAAACCTGATCATGACGAGGGTGCAAGATATCCCCACATGGGAGGCCTGAGGTCCACGTTATAAGCTAGTCTTCTAAACACACACCCCTTTTCACGTCTTTCATTTCATGCAGCACTGCGATTTGCAGAATGCTTTAAAGTGTCTTCTTTCTCTGCCAGCTCTAGATAAAGAGATCATGGTTCGAGCCAGGCACGGTGGCATGCACCTGTAGCCCCAGCTACCTCAGACACTGAGTTAGAAGGACCACGGAGCCCAGGAGTTTGAGGCCAACCTGGGCAATATAGCAAGACCCTGTTTCAAAAAAAAAAAAAAAAAGATGGTTGATATGCCACTTCATCTATCACCATCTGGTGCAATTCTTTAAAAAAAAAAAAAAAAGAAAGAAAAGAAAATGGAGAAGGATGGGAGATTCTTATTCCCAGGTTACAAGAGGTATGAAGGCAGACTACAGAAAAACAGTGAAAATTGAAGAGAAAGCACGCTGGGTGGTTAGTGGATTCTTGATTCTTAGCATGCACCCATTCTCAGGGTGAGTATCTATGTAGTATGAGGGAGGGGAGTGAACTCTGGAATTCACCTGCTTGGATCTGAACCCAGATGGCAACATTTCAGCCAGGGGGCTTTGAGTAAGTCAATTAACCTTTTGGGGCCTCAGTTTCATCAGCTGGAAAACAAGAGCAAGAACAGTTACTTCACAGGCTCAAGAACAGCTTATAAAATGAATGCTAGGAAAATATTACACCAGTCTCGCACATAATAAGCACACCAAAAAATTGCAGGGGAGACCTCAGTGGCTTAAGAGAGAAGAAAGGGATATGGCATGGTTTGACTTCACCAGCTAATTCTGGAAGAAAGGTTGGGTAGAAGCAGGACCCTATGGCTCTGCACTCTGTACTGTCTTAACACATCCTTCTTTCTCTACCTCAAGGATAAACACCTTCAAGAAGGCACTGTGTCATGTTGTTTTTGGGTAAGCTCTTGGGTCCCTGTCATGTGACTTGGCGTAAAACTTCTGCTTAGTCAATATTTACAAAATTAATTGAACAAACTAATTTTATCTCCCTTGCCTCTGTGCATCCTAGATATGAAAAAGAAACAGCCTGCACAAAGAAAGTGCTCTAAAGGTGACCAGTCTGTTTTTAGCTCCAGTTGGCATCCCCACATGTGGCAAAGCCACCACAGTGCCACTCACTGCCACAGAGGACCAGAGGTGCCTCCTTACAGAGGTCCCAAGGTTCTGCTCTCCAGGGAGGGAGATCATAAAACCCACCCCTGATCCTGCTAAGGGGAAGCAGGAATGGAGGCAAGTGGCTCCCACAAAAGCCCCAAAAGAAAACCCATGCACAGCAAGGAGGGGCAAGCACACACTTTATTTTTAGCTTCAAATGATGGAAAGTTACTCGCAGAACAGTGCAAATTTTGCTTCATCACCCTCAGTACCTTTCCGGGATCCCAAGTAGCTTTGGAGGGAACTGGCAAGGGTAAGGGGACAGAGGAAGACCTGACGCCCTTTTAGGGGGAGGAAGAGAAGAAGCAGAAGGAGATGAAAGCATATGGGGAAGAAGGGTGGTCTCTGGGAACCCCAGCCCAAACAGATGAAGCCAATGGAGGCTCCTACAAGTGGCTATGACTCTACCAGCTAACAGAGAGCAAAGTCCCCATCAAGAAACAAGGCCTGGATTCTAAAGCCTCCGGTAGGTCCATTCACCTTTCCTGTACCCTGAGCTGCTTGTATCTCTTCTGGGAGGTAGGCAGAACCAGGCTATGGAGTCAGAAAGATATGAGTTCCAATGCCACATCTGCTGTGCTCTGAGGCAACAACCTAAGTCCGGGGCCTCCATTCCCTCCTCTCTGAATAGGTGCTGCTATGCAAGTGGATGTAACAATGCCAGGGAGGATGCCGGCTGTACCTGCCACCTGACCAGTCATCTTTCCACAGTGAAACAGGGGCCAAAAAAAGACTGCCAAAGGCTCTGCTCTGTGGCCTTGGCTAAGTCTTTCTGTTCTCT